GCAAAGGCAAAAGGGAATACTTCTACAAGAAACAGATAACTATATTAGTTAGTTTGAACTGTAACAGTATTACCACATAAAGCAGAGTAAAACTACAATGCATAAAAATACTCAGATGCAGGGTATGAATAGTATAGAAACTGTTCATACCACTCAATGGAAGTCAACAACTACAGCATTTACATTACATACATTTATTTCCATTCTTTGCAGTAGCTCCTAGAAGAGTACCCTTGTACTTGTTTGTGACGAAAGTACCATCAATGAACAGCATAGGCCTACACCACCGAAAACCATCAATGGAGGCCTTAAAACATATAAAGATCCGCTGGAAACGAGAACCATCCTCGCCACAGTCAAGCACACAATGAGATCCGACATTGCTGGCCTTCAAAACATTCACATACCAAGGCAGGTGAGCATAAGACAACTCCTCATCACCATGCAAATCCTTAGTAGCCGATTCCTTCCCATACCACGCAACATGATAAGGGATATCCAATCCATAATTCTTCTTCAAATCAGTAATCAGCTCAATAGGCCTTACCAAAGGATTGCTACGAACCTTATCTTTGACAATTGAAGACACCAAACGAGACCCCATTGCCTTATTTCTCTTCTCACGGATCAAACCACTGCAACTGTGTGCATTATTTAAGTTCTTAAAATAAAAAAACCCATTTACATTCGACTTAACAGCATGCACATGCCACTCACAGCCATTTGATTCCTTCTTAGCACACACAGCAGTAACACGACGAGGCTCATTTTTCAAATATTTCATCTTAAAACCATTCTCAATCGAGTACTTAGCCAACTTATCACGGAATTCACAAACTCCACCCTCAAACTTCTGACCCTCATGAGTAATATAACCCTCCCAATCAGTAGACAAATACTTACGACCTCCACAACTACCATATTTGCCTAAATATTCACTTCCATACTCACTGCTAATACCATCAAAATCCATACTCAAACAAGGAGAAGCTGCACTTGAATCAACAATGCTACCAGTTTGAATTGAATATTTACATGTATCCTCATCTTGTGCAAAACTGTAATTGTTAGGAACATCCTCCAACAATAAAGGAGAAGCAATTATGTTCGTATTAACAGTTTGAACATAATTCACTACAGCATTATCCCTAACAGCAATGTGAATTAATTGATCATTCGTCAGTTCACATACCATAAACATGATTTTCAAATCATCATCCAATTCCAATAAACAATTGGAGCAATCCGTATAAGAGTACCTCAACTCAAAATGACCTAACTTCAGCTTGAACCTACTACACAACTCGTTAGACAGCCAATCAAAAGTAGTAGTTGAAGACAAAATAAGCATTAAAGTTCCACCACCATAGGTGCACTTTGCCACTCTCGAATCATCCATATCTATACAAAAAAACAACAAACAAAACAAAAATGACTACTAGCAATAACAGTGGATGCCGAGTATTAACAGTAAATTATAGTCGACTCAAAAATCAATAGTGCATAAATAGAAAAAACACGAATATACTCAGATTAAACTGAAAAAACCTCAATTAATATGAAAATCAAATCGAATATCACAAAAGTTTCACCACCTCAAACCAAAACACAAGAGCAAATCCACAATCAAAACGAATCTGAAATCAATCCAAATTATAAACAAAAAGAAACGAAAACCTAATCAGCAACTTAATTAATCGAACATGAAATCACCAAAAATCAGACTACAATATAATCGAATCCTCAAAAAACGAATATGAATTCACAAGAAAAAATCGAAATACCTCAAAATCGAAGATCACAGATCGCACCAAGCTCCAATCGAGTCTCTTGCAGCGCAATATCAATCCAAAAATTACCAAATCAAACAACAAAGAACAAAAAAATTGAAGCAATAGAACTCCAATCTACACCATACTGAGCTCAGAAGAATCCAAAAAGAAGATCTGAAACCACATCATACTGAGCTTCGTTCGAAGAGGTGAACGAAGCTCGCTTCGTTCGAAGAACTGAACGAAGCTCGTTTGGAATATTTGATCTGCTGAGGCTGCCAAACAGGTTTCTGTTATGAGATCACCAACGTAAATTTTCAGAAATTCCTATCCTAGCTGGCGAATTTTGGGCCTGTTTCAAAGAATTCAGACCAAAAGGTCAAAACCGTAATCTAACATAAAAAATAAATCCAAAAATTGACAGCTGTTGGTTTTTGGGTTTATTTTGGGTGTGTTTATATGTTTTAAATAGTCTAGGGTTTTATTATAGTTTAATGTCTAGAATTGGGTGTTTCACTAATTTTGTAAAAAATAGACAACCTTGGCTGCTAGGCTTCAACTGGTTAGTTTGACTCCTTTTCTGGACAGCTCCCTGCTTTCCTGCTTATCCCTCTTTGAGATTGTAACTTGCCTATCTCCTTGGGAGAATTAC